ATTTGGGGTAGGGAACTTGACCTTTTGGTGGTAAACGGAAGTTATGGCCCTTAGCGCCTGAAGGGTTGGTCTTTCAATCACGGCGTTGTATTGGGAGCCTCCTTTTATAACCACAAAGTTGGCCATTGTGGTAGCATGTCGGGGGTTTTCTCCAGCGGTTATAGGCAACCGGATGGTCCCCTGGGGGATGACGGAGTCCCCAGTGAAACCATATAGCGGCCTGGAGGTTTTTTCCAATTGTTTCTTTTGGATCCCCATTTTCTCTAGACAGTCGGAGTATAGGAGGTCCACCGAGCTCCCATTGTCCACCAGGGCTTTCACCACCAAGGCGTCGTTGTGGGGGAAATGAACCCCACTAGCGTCATCCTCGTTAAAGGCCACGTCGGTGTGACTGTACCTTGGGGTTTTCGCAGCGGAGACGCTCCAGAATCGCTCATGATAAACCCCGCTGGCCTCGTGGGCGTAGTCCTTCTGAGACCTTCTTGAGTCTCCTCCTATATAAGGACCGCCGAGGACAGTCCGTATGACGCCGACGGGTTCGTGATCCTCTGGGCGCTGGTCCTCTTCTCGGTGTCGACCGTCATTTTACCTACCATGGCCGTCATTTCGAGGTCTTCGTTCGGCCCTGAACTCTTGTAACCTTCCCTCGCGGATCACTCTTTCAATTTCATCCTTGAGGTCGGCGCAATCGTTGGTGTGGTGGCCGACATCGCCGTGGAACCTACAGAATTTCGTCTGGTTCCTTCGGCTGGGATCTAACTTCATCGGTTCCGGTCGGCGCAGCAAGTTCCCGCGGCCAACCTGATTGAAGACCTCCTCGACTCCTACCGTTAGCTCGTGGTAAGAATCATATTTTTGGAACAGTCGAGGCTTACGAGTATCCTCTTTCCTCGGCTTCTTGGCTTCTGGAGCGTTCGTCGTCGCGGCGGGCTGCTTGTCTCCGTTTCCTCCACCTCGACGCTTCTTCCCATCCTGTTTCACAGGCGTCGACCCTTGTTCGGTTCTTTTATTCTTGTTGGACCTGTACTCGGGGTCATTTGCGTCCGCCTCTTCGGCGTTGATGTACCCCTGTGCTTGCGCCAAAAACTCCTTGTAGCTGGACGGAGGTTTCCGGTTAAGCTCTCTTTTGAATGGGGTAATTTTCTTCATGCTAGATAGGGTCCCCATCAAGGCCTCTCTATCTGTTATATCCATCGTGGTGGCGACAACTTCCCCATATCTCGCGAGTCATTCCCTTAGTGACTCGTTCGGCTTTTGGTATATCGTCGTCAGATTCTGCTTTGAGGGGACGTACTTTTTGACTCCTATGAATTGGAGGGAAAACGCTTCCTTCAACTCGTCCCAGCTTGAGATAGAGTTTGGCCTCAGCGTCTAAAACCATCTTCGGACATAATCCGTCAAATGGTTTCGAAAGGCTCGGCACATGATCTCTTCGGCATAACCGTGTAAGAGCATGTGCCCTGTGTACATCTCCAAATAGTCGTCGGGATCTCCTCACCCATCATACGGTGGGATTGACGACGACCTGTATTTATCGGGGAGAGGGGGCACCATTATTTCTTCGGCAAATGGATAGTCATGTGTGCAGCTGGGCGTGATATCGACGTTTACCACCTCAGCCACACGACTTATGTTCTTTTTTAGGCTCGCCACGTCCCCTGTCAGTTTTTGCTCCAGGCTGGCCATACGTTCCATGATGGCGCGTGCTTCTTCTGTCGAAATGGCCGAGCCGGCTACTCTCGACGCTTCTGCCCTCTGAGCGTTGGGTCCGCCTCGGGCCTGGCCGCCTGCTTGTACTGATCCTGAGTCTCCCGGTGGGTTTCCACCTAGATTCTGGGATAGTACCTCGGGGTTTCCTGGACCTCTCCGTACCCGGTCCTCGGGAGCTCGGAGTCCCGCGGCCCCCAAACGGCTGCCGGAGGATTGGGAAGGCCGAGGCCTAGGAGGGCCCCGGTGATTCTCACTATCTCCGGTTCCTTCTTGGATATGTGGGTGGTCACCATGGTTCGGATTTCCTGCCATGGCAGGTCCCTGCGGCCTCGGGGCGTCTTCTAATAGCAGCATGAAGTTCCTTCCATCTAAGCGCTTAACCACGGTCATTAGCCCACGTACCAGCTCGGTTAGAGTGGTTAGTTGGGCCTGCATCTGCATCGGATCCGGCCGTGGTGCTTCTGGAGGTGGGACTTCGTTTCCGACCGGGCGTAGATCTTCTTCCATCCCGCTATTTGTTGGATGGATGGCGGTTTATAACTATGTTGTTGGGGGTCGAACGCTTTCGATCTCTAGTGGAGTCGCCAATTGTAATTTCGTCAACAAAAACCGGCCGGGTTACCTCTTGGTTTCCCTTTGGATTACCGGCCTGTGTGTAGTGAACGTATGAGGATTTGTTGAATATGTGTGTTTGTGTGTTAACTAAATCATGCATAGACAAACGACACAAGGAATTTTATAGTGGTTCACTTTATAAAATGAGAGCTACATCCACTGTGATTTTGTATTTCTTTTGAGAAGATAACAATTTACAACAATTGCTCTCATTAAATCTCTTTTTTCTTTGCTGGAATCTCTGAACCCCTTCGTTACTGGAGTCTTCCTCCTTTTATACTGGGCTTCCTTCGCTTAGGGGGTTTCCTTCATGGGTGGAAGCACTCAAGTGCTATTCCTTGGTAGGCCCAGACGTAGCCCACTAATCAGCACTGTTCACTCAGCCAATCAGTCTCCTATTACGGCTTTGTGCTTCCCCGTAATACTTTCCTGTCCCCTGTGGGGCGGTTTGAGAGCTTGCAATTAATGCCTGCAGACGTCCTCCACTTTTGCACACAACCCGTCACGTCCTCTAAAGAACGTTCCCCTCGTTGTCAGCGCTGCTTAGCCCAATCGCCCTCTTTGGCGGTCCTTTCTGCGGTCGAGGGATCTTCGTGCCTTAATCTCGACGGCGCGATCTGTTGACGCCAGAAGGAATCGTCGCCCTAATTTGGACTTCGTGCTTTGGGCTTTCCAGCGGAATAGGAGGGAGCCATGGACGTTGAGGGTTGTTGCTTGACGGAGAGTAGTTAAGGCCACGTGTCGTATTATCGTTCGTCCATGTGTCCGTCATATTTTTCCACACAACAGCTGCCATATAAGGTTTCGAGAAATTAGAATTTAAGACTTCTAGTTCTAGATATGTTGGACAGTTTATTACCGCATAAATATGTACATTACTTGGCACTTGCTTTGAATGCCTGCTCCCGTAGAGCTCACTTCTCTCCCAAGACTATTCTACTATTCATATCTCTAATACAATGTTTTCCTTGTACACAAAAACAGATTTGCGCACAGGCTGCGCAGCCACTGATCGACTGTCGGATGTCCCGAAATGAGTTTTCTTTGCAACTAGGAATGTGTCGTACTGAAAAAGCTATCTTCATCTTCCTCTGAGCCCCTCTCCTTCTTGCCTCTGTAACTTGTAAGATACTTTGTATTGCCCATAAGTGGAGCAACATCAAATTCACTCCCCACCCTTTTGGCTTCATATGCTTCTGGACTGCCGTATCGACGAAGAATCTGCAAAACCTCCTTCATAGAAGGCCTAGCCGAAGGTGAAGTGCTTGTACACATGAGTCCTAGTTTGAACACAGTGGTCATCTCGTCTAAATTACAAGGTTTCTTTATCTCCACGTCAAGGGCATCACTAATAGGCTTTTCATCACCGTAATGCTGCCATGCCCATTCCGCTAAGTTCATATCCTCCTCTTCACAATTCGGCTCCCTTCCAGTTGCTAGTTCAAGTAGTACAACCCCAAAGCTATAAACATCAATCTTCTCATTGACCTTTGCCGTGTAAGCATATTCTGCGAAATAAAATGGATTTAAGATTATGATAAACGAGTTTTAGATATTGCTTTTAGAAAAAAGGCTAGACAGTATCAACTAAAATTTATGATCATTAATGGAAGAAAATAGGAAAATTCTTTACCGGGGGCGAGGTAACCGAAAGATCCGGCAATGGCAGAAACACTGTGGTGTTCTCCATGCTTGGCCAATATCTTGGCAAGCCCAAAATCTGCTATCCTTGCCTTGAACTCAGTATCCAACAATATATTGCTTGACTTAACATCGCGGTGAATGATGGACGGCGAGCAGTCATGATGCATGTAGCACAACCCTTGTGCAGCCCCAATTGCAATCTGCAGCCTCCTAGGCCAATCCAAAACAGCATGATGAGCCAAACCAATTCCATGACTCAATAATTTCCTCCTCCTTCCATGAAGCCAAATATCTAGACTCTGATTCTCCATGTACTCGTAGACGAGAAGCTTCGAGTTCTCGCTTGAAATGCAGCACAGCAACTTCACAATGTTGGAGTGCCTAATCATTCCCAGAATGTGAACTTCTGCTAGGAATTCCTTCTCCAAATGCTCATCCCATTTCCTGTCGTTCCAAATCTTCTTCACAGCCACAAATTCACCAAGACTATTTGTGCCAATCCTGTAAACTTTCCCTGATCCTCCATCACCAATCAGATTGTTCTCCGTTAAGTTCCTCAAAACGTTATATTCTGTGAAATCCAATCTTTGGAATGAGGTAAGCTTCCATGACGCTAACTTCTGATCATGCCTTTTCCTTCTCTGCTGTTTGACCATGAAAAAGGTCAACGAAACAGTCACCAGCAAAACCATAATGGCGAGTATCAGAATCAAGGCAAGGACTTTGGAAGAGAACGTTTTGGAGTTTCGGAAATATTGGGTACCACAAGTTTTAAGAAGAATCAAATTGTTGGAACATAGATTTGGATTGTTCAAGAAACTGTTTTCATAAGCAAGATTGTCAAACTCATATGGGATTTTCCCGGAAAGATTGTTGGAAGACAAGTTGAGTGAATTTAGCCTCAAACGGCCAAGCTGAGGAGGAATTTCACCTGACAATTGGTTTTCTGATAAGTCTAAGTAAAGAAGGTTCGGTAGAGAAGCAATAGATTGTGGAATTTGGCCTGAGAGTTCATTCCTTGAGAGATTAAGCGTGTCTAGTGACTTCCATGAGACGACTTCCAACGGCAATTCGCCCGAAAACCGGTTCCCATCGAGCAACAAAGTCGTTAATCGCGAAAGGCTCGTGAATTCAACCGGAATTTTCCCGGAAAACTGGTTATTACTAGCCTTGAAAACGATCAAACTCTCCCAAGTGGACGCTCCCGTGGGGATTTCGCCGGAGAATCTGTTGTTACTAATTTCCAGCCTTGACAAGTTCCACGGCAACTTGCTCGGAAGCTCGCCGTAGAACGAGTTTTTGCTGATCATCAAAGTCGACAAATTCATCGCCGTCCACAACTCCGGCGGAACCTCGCCGGAGAAATTGTTCCCGTAAAGCTGAATACTAATCAAAGAACTGCAATTTCCTAGACCTCTAGGCAATTCTCCGCTAAGGTTATTGGCGAACGCAATCATTCCCCGTAAAGCGCCGTTTTCGCATAGATTTACCGGTAGTTCTCCCGCCAGTTGATTGTTCGAGACCTCGAAAGCTTCGAGCTTCGAATGTAGGCCCATCTCCGGCGGCAGAGTTCCGTTCAACTTGTTGTTGAAGACGCGGAAGAGCTTCAGCGTCGGAATTAGGCCTAAACTCGCCGGAATCACGCCGCTCAATTGATTCGAAAACAGGTTCAGAACCGACAAATTGCTCAACTTTCCGAAATCTTCCGGTATCGAACCGGTCAAATTGTTCATAGAAATATCAATTTCGCTCAAATTCAGTGCCTGAACAGGTCTCGGAATCTCACCGGACAATCTATTATGAAATAGAAGTAAAAATTTTAGATTCTTCAACAAAAACAATCCGCTAGGAATCGAACCGTCTAGCTTGTTCATCGAAAGGTCCAATTTCTCGAGGTTCTGAAGATCAGCGAAACTTTCCGGGATATTTCCTTCCAAATTAGTGCCTGTCATCCACAATTCCTTCAAATTCTTCAACTTTCCGAATTCCGCCGGTATCGAAGCAGGGATGAAGAGGCCGTTATAGGCCAATCTTAGCAGTTCGAGATTCGACAAGTTTCCGATCTCGCTCGGAAATGTCCCGTTGAACAAATTCATATGAAGATTAAGCTCTCGCAACTCCGAAAACTGGCCGATAGACGCCGGAATGTCGCCGGAGAAGTTGTTCCCGCTGAGGTCCAAAAGCCGGAGGCCTGAAATCCGGTCGATGTCGTCGGGAATTCTGCCGGTGAAGTTGTTCTGCGAGAGGTCGAGGAATCGGAGCTCCGAGCAGTTGTATAGAACTTTCGGAAAATCCCCGGGGACGTAATTCAGTGCCAGGTCGAGAGAAGTGAGGTTCTTGAGGTCGCAAATCGTCGCCGGAATCTTCTCCGTTATGTCCTTTTCGCGGAGTAAAACTCCGGTGACGACGGTGCCGTCGTCGGAGCATTGAATCTCGGGCCAATCGCACGGCAAGGACGAGGAGTTCCACGACGAAAGCGATGGCGGATTCCCCCATTGTTGCCTGAGTTTGAGCAGGATTGATCGCTCGGTATCCAGGGACTGTGAAATTACCTCCAGGGGTAAGGCCACCAGGACGAGAAGAAAGAGAGGGATCGCAATTATGGGAACTGATAAGGGTATTTTTGACATTTTGAGAGAGTTTGGTTCGTTATTCTGGTTATGATTTCTGCCGGGAAAAAAATATATTCATTGGGGGGAGGTAAGAAGTAACGGCCAGTATTCAAAATTGATGGCCTTTTGGGGGTATATGTGTTGGTTTAAGCTAAACGACAATGAAATGTTCTGTAATTACGGTTATGCCACTGAAAGTGATTTGGAGTCGAGTCAGGTAAGTCAATCCACAGAGTTATGTTCTTACACGGATCAACTAAAAGCTACCAAAATTGGTTTAAAAGAAAAGGAAGAAGACATTAGAGAGCTTTTTTTTTTTTTCAATAATAAGGAAGAGATTAGTGATAGTTAAAATATTTAGGGAGAGTTATTCACCCACCAAAAAAAAAAAAAGAGCATGTAGGAGAGTCGTCATCCATATGGGAAAGGGGGATGAACGTAAATTCAAACATGAATGGCGTTATTTTTTCTAATTGTGTTAGTTCCACTGTTGAAGCAATATATTCTTCCTTTTAATTCCCCCACAAAACAAAAGCAAATAACAGAAGATATCTTTTCAGGTTAGGCACAATCCCTCCTTAGCTACCGGCGCATCCTTTTTGTTTATTCATTTTTTAGTTTAACCCCCTCTTGGATTCTAGAAGTTCAATATTTTATTTCTATGCGTGGAAGAACAACTAATTAATGTTCATGTATAAAGGTGTATTTATGGTGGAGAAGGTTATTTTGTTTCACCGTAGAAAACACGTTTTAATTGTTATATTAGTTTTTTAACGGTCTGCAGGTATAAATTATGTATCGCGCGGTATAAATTTTTAATACGGATATGCACAGATCTAACTGTTAAAACATCGATCTAATAATTAAAAATAACAGTTTTAATCGGTGGAGCAAAATAACATTTTTTACCATAAAAATTCCCTTATACATAAGTCGAAACAATAAAATATATAACTCCTTGTTTTACAATGCATATGAGAGACAAAGACTGCTATAGGATTTTTAAGCACCATTCTCTAAGGTTTACTTTTCTTTTGACATATTCCAAGCAAAGATACCAACCCAAATTATATAATTAGGACGAATAATGGTCTCTAGAATTGTTTGGGAATAATAATATGGAGTTCAACAAAAAACACATGTCCTGACAGTTCATGGACAATCACTGGCCAGAAGATTAGCTGAACTTTAAATGTTGCAAAAATAAATATTACTCTTATCAATTATTATTATTTTTTTGGAAATGATATGTTAAGAACGTCCGAGCCATCTCGTTATAAATTAATATTTGTATTCAATAAGAGTAAAAATCAGCAAAAGTTTGAGTATGGTAATGATGCGATAGTTCATTACCATTATCAACAGGGGGAAAAACTCAATATTATGCATATTTACGATTTGCAAAAACTTCATTTTCTTACATAATCTTAACGTTAAAACTGAAAAATGCATATCATGCTTATCAAGGAACATCATATGTATATACTATAAAAATACATGCATGCATGTATTCGGCAAAAGCTAATTGCAACTTTTATTTAACAAAAGCAATCCAAATTGAGAATTCATAAAGTACGAGTACAATGCTTATCAAGGAACATCATATGTATATACTATAAAAATACATGCATGCATGTATTCGGCAAAAGCTAATTGCAAGTTTTATTTAACAAAAGCAATCCAAATTGAGAATTCATAAAGTACGAGTACATAGTTGCAAATATGGCTTATTCGACTTAAGCTCAAAGCTCTTTGGCTTGGTTCTAAGTCAACCACAACCCTATACCGGTGAAGCATTAGGGACGGGGAAATCAGAAAAAAACATAAAAAAAAAAAAAAAAGGCCACTAGATTTAGACGACCAAGAGGCAACAATATTATTAATGGCAGATCACAGGAAACTTCCCACTTCTTGTTGGATTTTTCTTCACCTAAATTGCATAAATATTCAGAGTGCGCCTTTTTATTTGTCTTTGACCGTTAAAAACGCTTTACTTGATATGTATATTGTAGTAAATGTCATGTTCATTCGTTAGTCAAACTTCAAAAAAAGACACTCTTTTGAACGCACTGGTTTATCTTTTTCCTGGCCGCCTGGCCATATTCATACTTGTCCCATTCATCTTGATGACGTCATACAAATTGAATTCTTCGCCATTGTTAGTGTGCTTGAGTAGGATCTAAAAGATCATAGAAGCTTCGATTTAACTCAAAGAAATGTTTTCATCTAGAACGCGCACACACGCATTCATGACACACTTTCACATAAACACACACACACACACACACACACAACAAGATCCATGTACCCTAATAAATCCTAACCAACAAATTGCTCAAACATGAACAGTTTCTATTATAATGTTTCTTTTCTTTTTTTTTTTTTTGCTCTGAAAAAAAGGAATCTTCGGTATCACTTCACTCCCATCTATTTCATCATTTTGGAAATCTCCGGGCTCTCACCAATGCAATGGAAATAACCTAACTCAATTGTACTCGAAAAACGAGTCCAATTTTCTCTCATGCCGCTCATTGTTCCACAACACATTGGTCAAGTTAAGTGTCCTAAAGTAAGATTGTAGAGTATGAACTCTCGGCATATCTTAAGAGGAGAAAAAAGAAAGACATCTTTATCACTACACTCACTCATTAGTGGTCTATTATGATAAATTAAATTGGAGACGTATGGCCTATTAATTATGTAATCTTCCTATTTTCAAATTTTAGACTTGATAAATACGGATTAAATACAACTTATTTTTGATTATTAATCAACTTTAAAGAAAAAGGAAAATTCTACTTGTAATTTTATTTTAAACCGTTAAATCTATATAAGATTTTGTTAGTTTTATGCATTTATTCAGCTTGATGTGATCAGTAGGGTATCGGGTATCCCAACTGCAGAAAGCTCCAATAAAAAAAAATGAAGTTGGTTTAAGATTCGATTAACCATAACATTCAACATTACACATTGCACTGAATTATTTAGGGAAATTGTCAATGGGCACAGTAGAAAATAAAGGCAGAGAATGTTGAAGTCACAAATTTTTGTTTAAATCTTTTTGGCTACTAGTTATATTAGTCAACAAAAGCGAGAAGCTTTACTTTGTGAAATGTTGATGCACATGTAACATGTTTGAACAAATTAGAAGAAATGTTGGAATAGCTAACTCTTAAGTAAAAAAATGAAAATACATACTATATTGAAGAACATGTTTGAAAATTATTATGTCCGTCCATTAATACTGGTTGACGGAAATTAAATAAGACACATAAAGTAGCCCGTTGATTCTAGAATATTATATTGTGTGGTAATTTATCTGAATATTTGTGAACGACAATAAACAGAACAGAGAGAGAAAAAAAAATCCAATACTGATATCTTAACTGTGTAAATTCTGGTTGATAAGAGGAATGCAACTTAAATAAAATAGCCACTCTACGAATACAAATTTTACACGTGGGTACTCTAACTAACTACCTATTTACAACTTGATCAGAGATCTAACCACTAACTTACTAAATAATCCTGATTAACAAACAATAAAACCAATTATCTCTAACAGTAGTTGTACTTGTGATCTTCTTGATTTGCCAGTTTGAGAAAAATGGATGCATAGATCATCGTTAGAGGGAAGGTTGTGATGGCCATTGGTTACATTTGAGTCTTCGAGAAGGGTTGTTAAGAATGCGCGAACAAAAGTCCTACATTGATTAGACATGAAAGGGACCCAACAAAATATACAAAAAAGAAAGGTCAGTTGCGTTAAAGTATTAAAATATTATTGGCTCATCTCTTAACAGCTTAAATTTTTAAAATGTATTGGTAAACTAACATGATATCAGAGCGGGATGTCCTGAATTCAAACTCTCGTAATTGCACTATTTATTCCCATTTAAATTGTAATAATGTGTTGAGTCTTTTTCACGTGTTGGACTTTTCAATTAATTTATCCACATGATTGCCCATTGTCCAGTCCACACGTGAGAGAGAGTGTTAAAGTATTAAACTATTGTTGGCCCACCTCCTAACAACTTAAGCTTTTAGGATGGATTTGTAAACTAACAGGTTGTAATTATCTTATTTAATTAAGGTGATCATATTAATACCTCTTATCTTATATGTTAATTGATACAAAATTAAGCAGACGACAGAAATTGAGACCAACATAGAATTAGAATTTAGATTACCTTTTGGCATAGTACACGCAACATTTGCCTCTCTCAACAAAGTGAGCTAGAGAAATATACCATAAACCACGGCTTATAATAAAGGGTACCCTATAATTAACAAAGTTCAAAATAGTACTCCTACTTAAACAAACGGTCAGAGATAATATATACTAATATTTATAAGTTTTCTAGGCATTAAAAAAAAAATCAATCTTGGGACTTGAAAGGCTCATAAGTGTGGAGATTCTTGTGAAGTCCTTGAATGGCACCACAAGCAGCGGCCAAGGAAATGAGAAAGGTCACAAAGCTAAGGAGTTGCAGCCCGGCCCATTTCGTGGTCCGTTTGGGAATCTTGTTTTGGGCTATGTGCATCTCAACTGGGAAGTAGACCACAATGGGCCAGTACCCAATGGCACCCATTAGTGCAATCATGTCGGTGAAGAAAGGCAGTGCCAAGGCTACCACGGTTACTATCACCACAAAAAGTGTTCTCCAAGTTAGCCTGAAGAGGTTCATAATGATGAGTCTTTTGCCGTACACTGAAATTATGTGCTCTTTGGTTATGAAACCTGAGTTGGGCCACGTCTTGCTGGCCCAGGTTTCTACTGCACGGAACACGGGCTGAGCCAATACCTGCGAATTTGGGGTAATTTAAGAAGGGTAATGCATGTATCGATTTTTATTTTTTATTTTTATTTTATAATTTTTTAGTTAAATAATTACGCTAATAAAAGAGTATTTATTAAAAATAAAGAGTAAAAGTCCAGACTCATACACTCTTAAAGATAAATTCTCTATTTTTTTATTTAAAAAAGAAAAAAGAAGATACATATCCTTTAAAGTTTACGATTCTTGATTTTTATTCCTATTAATATTCTTTTTAGTTAATGAACTATATGAGTAAAAAAAGTACTAATTAAGAGTAAGGGATGAAATTTTAAAACTATACACTCTAAGGTGAGTTCAACAATTTTCTCATTTGTCTTAAAAGTAAAGGAACAATAAGGAATTTGCCCCTATAAATCACTTTCTTACTTTTGAGTCCTTTTCTTAGAAGTCTGTCGTTTCTTTGTGTATAATGAGAGAAAACAAAGGCAATAAGATATCATTTGAGGCCCGAGACCACATAAACGGATCCTTTGTGTTCCATTGTGCATCATTAAGAACAATCAAAGTCGAGTCCAAGCTCATCGGTTTGGCCCCTTTTTTCGCCCACACAGCATAATGTTTTATTTTGAGAAAATTAATCAAATTGATGATACAAACCTGATATGCGCCCACTAGGTGAACCACGATGAAGAAGTTGGCCAAATCAATGACCCAGGAGGTTTGATGAAATCCGAAGCCCGCCAGAAGGTTCTCCGGCGCGTGGTCTCCGAATGCAGCGTAGCCAAAGCTACCGCACATCATGAAGAATGCCGTCATGACCGAGACTGCTATGGCGCTTGCTCTCTTCATCACTTTGTTTTCTGGTGGGGATGACTTCAAAGTATCCTGATCAAATGATTGTCCCAAAATGCATTCATGTTCACTAACAGTACTCCAAACGAAATGATGTTATTTATGGTTATGTATTTTTATTTAGCATGAACTTCATAATTTCATGCGTTCGGGTGGGCCTATATTTGTAATTAGTTCATGGTTTTGTTGACCTAAGCTATCTATATACTAATACAGTAATATTACTAAAAATTCAGACGATACATCTTGAGATTTTAATGGACAAATGTGTACAAAATAAAGCATTTTATGACCATCGCCATGTAGCTTCACTGCAAAAGAACAGCTACATGACAAAACAGCAGGACTAATTGAACTTCATATGCTATATAAATATAAATATAAATACATATATATATATATATATATATATATGTAAATATGGTGTATGCATGATATACATATTTCAATATTTATGTCTTCATTGATGTAATGACATCGTGTTAGAAAAATTCATAATTTTTTTGTCAACTACTCAATTTTATTACAAATGTTGAATCAATATCTTATGATTAAAACAACGCGCGCCGACGAGTGAATATTAGAGTAATCATTAAAATCACTCCTATATATCGACGTGTGTAAATTTGAGATTGTTTAGGTATATTGGTCACTTCACATCCAAAGTTAACAGAATCAAGGTCAAGGAATGCTACCGTAAAATATTTTTGTCAAAAAAAGTGTCTCCCGTTTAGCCCAAATATAGGGAGTGGAAGTGTATTTTTTTAATTAATTTTATTTTTTTAAGCCGGAAGTGAAACCTGCTTCTAAAAGAAGATGAGGAATAGTAAACAAATGGAAATGTACTTACTTGAATATCAATAAAAACTGGAGCATAAATGCAAGCAAAAGCAATATCACCAGCAGCCGTAAACATTCTCCAAACTTTATCCGCTGCAGACAACCCCACATCGTCTCCGTGCACCCTGATAAATAAGGACGTTTTGCCTTCGCGTCCTGAAATTATAATTCAAATCTCCCAACATCAATCTTTATCTAATTACTTGAAATTAATTTCACACACAAAAGCTAATAATCTATAAATTTGTCTCGTGGTAATTTTTACATGTTACGTGATTAACAAAATTTAGAGTTAGTATGATGTACTAAACTAAAGTTTTCAACATATTTCAAATCACATTAACGAATTAAAATTGTTAAACCTGTGACAATCTTGTGAATGGAGAGTCCAATTCCTGCAGTGGAATACGCAAAAGACATGGCGGCGGCGACGGCAGAGAGCCAAGACAAGTTGTGGAAGTTTGGGATTTGTGACAAGAAAATCTCAACAATCCCGAGGCCAATCATGTGTGGGTTATTCGAGAACTTGCACGGAGCATTTGAACCCCTTTTGCGGTGGCAATATGATTTTTGTATAGCCCTGCAGCTCATATTTGAAACATTAATGTGTTAGGATTAATCCGGATATCTGAACTAAATTACAAGATACAACAATGGAAAATAACAAGATAGAATTGGTGGTTTCGAGGAAAGCCGACTTTCAAGTCAGTGCACAGCACCTATATATGTCTCACAAATCTCATCATGCTCTTAATGTGTTACTAACTCTCTCATTTATACTACTGAAAGACTACTAACTATCAGGTTCTTATCACGATGAAACTAACAAATTAAAATTGTTATGTAATTAAAGAAAAACCAAGCTACGATTTTGCAAATACATAGTACTGATTATTTATAGGACATTGTGTTAAGTTTGTTAACAGTTATTTTAACTAGAGACACGTTATTTATGTACAAATAGAACATGCATATATTACTATATATTCACCAACCTATAGAAAAACCACTACATTAAAAAAAAAAAATACTGACTAACTGACAATCTAACTAACTAAAAAAACTGGGGACACATTATTTGTAATATACATGCACCAACTTTTTGGTGTATAATTTTGGTAACTCACACTAAGCTTTTGGCCGTAGTGATGGTATAGCCAATTACAAATGACGTAAGGTTGCCATACTGGATCCATCCACATATCATGCACATTGTTCCACCTAATCAACCAAAAGACCAAAAAAGAAAAACCAAAAAGAGAGTGATGAGAAATTAGATCACCAATAAAGGAAATGAAATATATATTTCAGTAAGATTTTTTTATTTTTAAATAAAGTATAGGTCAAATTTTTAGAATATATATTCTTTAGCTCAGTACCTAAGGTGGTTTTGACAGCTTCCATGTAGGAGTGATTTCTTTTGCCAGTGACTGGATCAGGGCTTCTATAGCAATCTGCCAAGAGATTGGCTGTGTAGAGTGAAATCGCCGAGAAAAGTAGGAGAATGCCAACGCCGGCGATCCATCCCAGCTGCGACACTGCCCACGCCAACGAGAGGACTCCAGCACCTATTGCTGTCGTAATTATATGGGCGCATGCAGTCCACAAGGTTCCTGTGTAATTTCATGCAAAATAAAAAAAAATTATGCCTCCAAATTGAAACTAGACAACCTAAGTGAAAATTGGATTATGAGTACCATATTATATTCCTACAACTGTATATAGAAAATAAAATTATACCAAAAAAATATTACTAAAGTTTTTTCGAACTAGCATTTGATTTTGCAAGATTGTTGAATGAGAAAGTGAAACTAAATATTCATGCAAGCATTCAGATATTTGTTCAAATTTAATGCTGCAAAAATTAGAAATCAAAACTGTATGCATGCGTCTACATACATACATATACAAAGTTAGTCTAAGAATCTTCTTTTTTTTTTTTTTTTTAATATATGTTGCATACACTATATACTAGCTAATTAGTAGTAACAATACGAATAAGAAAAGTTGATAATTTCTACACTTGCTTATGGCTTTTTTTATTTTTTTATTTTTTTACCGATGATACAATCAAAACCTTTTCGTTTGTAAGGAGATCACGACACCATGTAGTTACTGGACTGAAATACGTTTTTCTTTTGTACTAAAATGCATAATTCTCTATGTAAATATATAGCAACAGATGATGGTAACATATACTAATTTTCTCTTTTCAACTATATAGAACTGTAAAATATATATATATATATATATTATAGTACTATACAAATTTACAAAAAGAGAAATCTTATGGTTCTATCTAGGGGTGGGCATTGGATCGAAATTAATATGTTTTTTACCATCAATAATCCAATCCAAATTTTTTGAAATCCATCCAATCCAATCCAATATACTATTATCATCTAATCCAATTCGATCCGATATCCATTGGATTTGAATTGGAATGGATGATTAGATTAGCCTGGGCTTTCGTCAAAACTTATTAAGAACAATTAAATTTTGTACAACTTGCTCAAAGTATAAATCTATGTATTTTCAAGACAATTTAGTCTTCATCACCAATTCGTCATCCAATATAAAAATCAAAATCATCAAACATAGCAAACAACATGGCAAACTTACATTTATACAACACAATTTCTTGTCCAAATTAAAAAACAAAAAAAAAAAAAACTAGAAAAAAGATAAATACTGAAAAACAAGTGGACATCATTTGCAAATTGTAATGACCAGCAAAACAAGCACGACTCTACCCATTAGTTGCATATCATATGCATAATTAATTACATATTATATTATATAAGATAAATATATTTGATTGGATTGGAATATTGGATTTTTAAAATTTGAATCCAACATATGTCATCCAAATCCGATCAAATAGTGTTTGGATATCCAATTTTTTTGGATGGATTAGATTAGATTGGTTGTATCAATTGGATGATTGGATAGTCTGCCTACTCCTAATTATATCTATATAGATACATAGATATATAGATATGAATTATAAGTTGGGCAGTAATACCATAAAAAACTTTTCTCAAAGAGGAAATTCCGTGCAAATATATACTTTAACAGCTAATATCTACAAGATAAAAAAGGACTGGCACACAGAAAAAGAGGAGAAAGCATCTTAATCAAAGCCCCTTAAATTAATTCCGAAGAAGTATTGAGAAGAATATTCAATCGACCTAGAATGCAAGATATGACGTTTAACGTAGAAAATATTTCATTTATAAATTAAATGGTACTTATAGTGCTTAATAATTTAAAACATCTTTTCAATTGCTTATCTAAACATGTGTAGTTATAGGTCTTACTCATAGATGTTTAATTCATTTTTGACTCTTAGGAAAACTGAAAGGGTATATTTGGAGAAGTAGTTTATGACATGTTCCAAAAATTTCCATGCAGCATATATACTGTTCTAGAAACTATATATGGTTCTTTCAAAAAAAAAAAAAAACTATATATATAATATACATGGTTAATATTTAATTGTTTCATCTTCCATACGTGTATTTTAGTGCAAAAATAGAATAAAAATAAAGTTAATCAAATCCAATTTTAATTGGATATAACAATAGAACAAGGCCAGAAGCTAACTTATAAGACATTATGATATATAGGATTAAGAATGTATAGTCGGACCAAAAGGCGGCATATAATTGACTTAATTTTTTCTGCATTATTTTACCATGCAAACTGAACCAATTAAGTATACAATTGCTTCTATAGTAAGATGTTATGATATATATCGTAACTGAGAACAAAATATCAAATACCAAATACCACTAGTGGTTTATTATATAGTATTATAATAGCTTTTTTTTTTTTTTTGGAAGGATTTATTATAATAGCTTTTTCAACCAATACGAATTATTCTTGTGGATCTATGTTAGTGTATATATAGTTCTTAGTATCAAAGGGAATATAAAAGGTAAATTAGTGGTGATAATATGGCATGATCTAGTTCTAGTGGTTATTATTAGCCAAACTTCACACACACAACGCACGGGCTTAGCAGGATGCCTCTATCAAATTGTTTTCTATTTAAGGGAATGTGTTAAACTTATTGCGTTTTTCTTTTCCACTTAATTCATCTATTTTTTATTATTATTTTTTATTGTGGTGGTCCTAAAAATGTTGGTTGTTGTGGAAAAATGCCTACACTGTAAGCATGTATAGGAAGAGAGCAAAAGGTAAAAAAAAAAAAAAAAAAAAAAAAACACAACTTTTTATTTATTTATTTTAAAAATACCTACTTTACTATGATTGTACAAGTTAAAATAAATGAAAAACCAACTTTACTAGTACGCCTATCAAAGGGATTAATAAAAAAACATTTTAATAATGAGAATCTCCGTTCTTTCATTTTTATTTTTATTTTTTTATTTACCAATATTCATCCCCCACCATTTTCATTCAGGCAAAAGGAAGAACAACCACCCAAAAAACAAAAACAAAAAAAGAAAATAACTAGTTTTTCTCTCCTATATCCTTAAAGATAACGCCGCAAATAAGCAAAAATGAATCTATTAATTTAGTTTAGATCTAATTATTCGAGATGTGACTATGAGAGTTTTTAATTAATAAAAAAGATTAAATGTAACTTTTTATAAGAATTTTTAATTATAATAAAACTGAAATTAAAATTTAAATTAGTAAAATAAACGGGTCATTATTTTCTTATATGTATATTTTCTGATAACTTTCACACAAATAGAAAAACAGCATACATATAGGGCCCGTTCACTTCATGTATCCCACTCGAATACAGCCCACTCGAATTGAATTTTGGGTTGCGTTTTACGTTCATTAACCAAAACTCGAGTGTGAAACTCGAGTAATAACTCTGATTTCAGAGTTTGGCACACCACTCGTTTTTCCATTACTGCAGTGTGCTTCTACAGTGTTTTCATGTGCTTGAACAGTGCAGATTCCTGATTTCTTCCCGTTGCTGCCTCGTTCCTGCCTCCCCAGTGCAGATTTCTCTATGCTTTTTGCCCGCTGGACCCTGGTTCCTGCCTCCCCCTTCTAATTTCACTCTGAAAAAAGCTATTGTCTGCAGATTTTTAGAGTGAAAATTGACTCTCTCCATTGGGGGAAGGTTACTTGAATCGGTTACTTTGTCGATCCGCAGCGAAAAAAGGTAAACCTCTCCCCTATTTCCACCATTTTTGCTTCGATTTCTTGTTGCATGCCCAACCCTAGAAGTGTTCCCCGCCCCTGCCCTTGAATCTTCATCACGGATACCATTCATCCGCCTCGATGCAACCGGCAAACTCCGTTGGCCGTCTTATTGCGTCGATGTAGAGTCAAACGGAAGAATCTTGCATCTACTGGTTATCTTCCGTTGAGAGGTTACCATCGGCGGTTCCGGTGTCAAGCCGTCGTACGCGCTGCCTCACGATCGCGTTTGGGGGTTTTGATAGACGATAAGCCTTTGTCCTCAACTGGTTCCAACCGGGTATGATATTTCACAACTACTAATCTCCTATATACCATTATTTGTTCTGGATTTGTCATGATCGCACCGTAGTTCTTCTTCGTTTTCACTGATTTGATGCTGAGATATTGGTTGTCGTTTGCATTGTGATGGAAACGTGAGACATATTCCTTGTCGTTTGTATTGTGATGCTAATGTGTAGTGAGACCACTGTTGTCGTTCGCAGTCACGATGTTCTCTTACTTGTTGTCGTATTGCCTCAACTGTTGTCGTTTGTCCCTGTGGCTATTGCATCCCCTGTTCTCGTATTGCCTTGGCTGTTGTCGTTTTTACCTTAGCTTGTTTATTCCCCTGTTGTCGTATTGTCTATCCTATTGCCGTTTTACCTTAGATTATTGCCTACCCTGTTGTCGTATTGGCTGTCCTGTGGCCATTTTTACCTTTAGCTTATTGCCTCCCTTGTTGTCGTATTGTCTCTCCTGTTGCCATTTATACATAAGCTTATTACCTACCCTGTTGTCGTATTGGCTGTCCTATGGCCGTTTTTACCTTAGATTATTGCCTCCCTTGCTATCGTATTGGCTTTCCTGTTGCCGTTTATATCTTAGCTTATTACCTGCCTCCCCTGTTGTCGTATACTATCTCCACTGCCGTTTATACCTTAGCTTATGGCATCCCCTATTGTCGTATATTCTCTCCATTACCGTTTTTACCTTAGGTTATGGCATCTCCTATTGTTGTACTGGCTCTGCTGTTGCCGTTTTTACCTTAGCTTATGGCATCTCCCATTGTTGTACTTGCTGTGCTGTTGCCGTTTTTACCTAGCTTATTGCCTCCCCCTGTGGATGTATTGGCTCTGCTGTTGCTGTTTTTACCTTAGCTTATGGACTCTCTTATTGTTGTATTGGCTATCCTGTTGCCGTTTTTACATTAGCTTATTGCCTCCCCTGTGGATCTACTGCCTCTGCTGTTAGTGTATTGACTCCCCTATGGTTGTATCGCACATGACCGCTTAACAAACAGGTAATGTTGGCAATGATGAAATTGGTTCAAAAATTAGAACACTCGTCGTAGTGGCGTCCTGTAGGCAATGTGACAGTTAGTTATCGCTTCATTGGAATTTATCGAGTGCCTCTGAAGCATGGCAGCTACGTCACTCCTGCTTATAAGGATGATGCTCCGAGTGTTGTTGCGATTTCTCAGCTACAAAATTTCTGAGCCAGTAATAACATTGCCTCACTTGTTACATGTATAAACCAGGTAATAGTACGTTGGTTAATGGCAGTGATGTTCGAAAAATGTTCGGAGCCATTTATAACTGTGTCTAGTCGTTAGATTGTTTCAAATATCTGACTCACGCGTACGGCCATTCTTCTTGTGCGTCGTTACGCTTCTTTCTTTCCTATTTTTAGATGCCGAGAGGGAAACCCGACGATGAAGCCACTCTACACTGGACTGAAAGGCAGAAAGAGGAGTTGCTTATGCGACTCGCTGCCTACAATCGTGATGCCAACGGTCGAAAACCGGATTCTAAAACATGGGAGGATTGGGCGCAACATCTTCAACAGTTCTTTAAGGATCAAGTCACCCCTGCCAAAGTGCAGCAGATGAAAGTCCGACTCAAAGCCAAGTTTGACCATGAGCTTACATTACGCAATAACACAGGACTTGGCTGGGACCCTGTTACCGGTGCTGTGACATGCACTGATGAATATTGGGAAGATTTTGCCAAGGTAAACGTCTAAACAATTATTGTTCTATGGGTAGTCAATTCTTGCAATATTTTGCCAAGGTCATTTTGTTTGCTCATTCATATGCAGAACAAGAAATGGGCAAAATCGGCAAAGAATCAGCCTCTTAAAAATTGGGACTTGTACTATGAGGCCTTTGGTGGTACGAGGGCAAGTGGGGCATTTGAGAAGGGATTGGATAATCCAACGAACATAGATGAGGGTCCAGTACACATCTCCGACGAAGAAAGGGCGACATCTGATGAGGGTGGCAGCGAAGATGGTTTCATTGCCTCCATGCGGGCCGGTTTGAACAATGCAGCTAGAGGTCTCAACATTGCGTCATCCTCCAAAGCGATTGGCAAGAAATCAGCCAAGTCCTCACATAAGGTAATATGTGACCCTGTAGCGAGGGATTTAATCGGCAAGCTTGTCTCTTCTATTGAAAGCAAGCGTAGTAGTCGCACTAAAAGCTCTAGTGCGAATCAAGCTGCGCCTATTGTCGATCTCCAGGACCAATGCCAGGGCATAGTTAGGGAAATGGCGCTTGATGATGAAACCGCAATAATGTTTTTGGAGGCTATCATATATATGTCATATATATATGTGAAGAGAGAGAGAGAGTATATTGTCTGATAACTTTCACACAAATAGAAAAACAGCATACATATATACATACACTACCATCATATATATGTCATATATATATGGAAGAGAGAGAGAGAGAGAGAGAGAGAGAGAGAGAGAGTACCGGGTCTTTTATGTCTTCCCTCATCGTCTAATGTTATATATATATATATATATATATATATATATATATATATATTCTTATGAAGAACAGAAATGCATGCCAATGTGGGAAATGCACCATGTTCACGTTTTTTACATAACAGAAATGCATGCCAATGTTGAAATTAATTAGAGTTTGGCATTTGTGCAAGTGAACACAAAACTCAAGTTTCAAAAGTTAAATAGTCAACACCTAAACACTAAACTCCAAATTTCAAATTACACTCAACTTTTTTGAAACTCGAATCTAGTTTTTTAACTCGAATCATAAAATTTGAGTTAGTGAAGTGAACGGGCCCATATACACACACTACCATCATATATATCATATATATGTCATATATATATGGAAGAGAGAGAGAGAGAGAGAGAGAGAGAGAGAGAGAGTACCGGTTCTTTTAGGTCTTCCATCATCGTCTAGTTCTTGTTCAGCTAATTGGTCTTTTCTAGGTGAAACCAAACCAGATGCACAAAACCCATTTTCAAACATTTCTAGCTCACTCACACGAGTTGTATTACTCCCCATTTAGGCCTTCCTCACACTTCTTCGCCCAACCAAGTCTCTACGTTCAAAAGAATATTGCTTATTCTTATCATTTTTCACGCTTCTTCAAGAATGAAACAATAATTTGGATTTCGAGGGAATTATAATTTGGAATTTTAGATGAAGAAAATGTCAAATCGGGATATGATATTGGTCTCTCTCTGGTCAAGGTTCTTGTCCAAATTCACAATAGTCCTACATATACACACACACACACACTACCACAGTACCACGTTTCTTTACGCATGTAAAGTTTTCCCCACGTGGCATGAAATGACTGGGGGAAAAATTCAAGTCTACATGAGAGGGAGAATTTTTTTTCTCTTTGTGGGAGGAGCTTTTTGGTAACTGATGAGCCTTACAAAGGAAAAGTGTCAATTGATAAAGAAAAGGAAGGGTATCTATGTTTTTGTTGTTGTCAGATTTAGGAGATGTTTGGGTTGAAGAATTCAAACCATGATTTAAATTATAATTTATGATTTGTTATAATATTTTTTTTCATAAAAAATACACGTAAATTGAAAATAATTCTAATCCATGAACTAAACGTCTCCTTAGAATTATTAGTTTTCTTTTTCTTTTTTTCCTTTTTACACTTTCAATGTATGTCAACCTTAAGAATTAATGCAGTCAAACGACTCTTTGACTCTTGACTCAAAATTTAGATACGGCCATTTCTTATTCTACAGGACCACCACTGAGTACTTGAAATAAATTCAGCACTAATTAATCGAGAATCTAGAGTCTATAGATTATTATGCTCAATAATGTGATTTTTAATTTAGATATGATAACTTTTATATATGCTTGTGGAATTGATCTTATGCCATTGTGGACGCAACTTTTTTTTTCTTTCCTCTTGGACATGAAAGAAGCAATTGGGATTCTGGTCATATAGATTTGAAAGTAACATATAACGCAGAAAGTCTTCGTTTTGTAGGAGAAAAAGAAAGAACATCCACAACATGTATGGTACATGGTTGGTGGAACAGTGAATTGGTTGCTTATGTAAGATGGTGGCGACTTACAGGATGTTTGTTTTTTTTATTCGTCATTGGTTCTGAATCATAATTCATGGTTCTTTACAGTGTTTTTCTCTCACAAAAAATATACATAAAACGAAAATAATTCTGAATAATAATTCTAAATCTATAAACTAAACGTCAATTTATTGATTTATAGAGTCAATAACAACCCGGGAGTTGAAGGGATTCCATAGAATATTGCAAGAGATTGTTTTTTTTTTTTTATAAAAAAAATATTGAACATAAATGTGTTATGTTCGGTGGAGGTGAAAAGTAGTAGGAAATAAAAGAGCGGAGAGAATTTTAAAGAAAAAACAGATTTGTACTTTATTTGGTAGGAAAGAAAAGTAAAGAAAAGGAAAAAGTGGAGAGATGAAATAATTTATGAATTTCGTGTTTTTCATCCTTCAGAAATGGAGAGATTTTCAGAGAGAAAACTTGTTATTTTTGTATAAATAGTCAAATTACCATTTTTTATCTTCATTTTAAACTAAGAAGAACAATAATATATTGACAAAATAGAACTTGACCAACTATTTTCTTCTCTTCCTATCATCAAACAAGACAAATAAAAAAGACCCTTTCTTTCATTCATATTTCCCTCCCTAATTTTTTCCGTAGTTTCAATTTGACCAAGTGCACATGATCTCATTACTTGCTACTCATATTTCATCTCCTTTAGGGCTATGTTTTGGCTCAATATAGCAGAAAAGTACATGATTTGCTAATAATTTTTCGCAGGTCTATTATTTATGTCATTCTAAATAATTAATTTATTGTGACCTTATTTTTCTGTTTATTAATTAAATGAAAATTTTTTATTGTTGAGTAGAGTCACATAAATAATATTTTTTTTTACAAATAACAAGACACCTGAAATCTTTGTGTTCATAAAAAAAAAAAAAAAAAAAAACTGACAAGACACCTAAAATCTTGAAACCACATTATTTAAACTACAAAGTTTTATTGAGTAGAGTGATATAAATAATAACGAAACCTCCCTCTATGTTACCTTATGTGTTTATAAATGCTGTACATATGCCCGTGTTCTACAAATCATGTAAAAAAACCTTTTGTCTGATCCTTTTGGTCAAAATAACAATGTGAATAGACAGATTTACTGTTTAGTCTCTGTTTTAGAGAGAGGGAATGCAATACCATAGTTAATATTTCTTACCAGCTTTTTTTTTAGAACCCAAAGATACTTAGGGATACAAAGACAAATGACAATTTTTTAGAGTTTTTTTTTTTTTTAATAATTGACCGAGGCTTTATAAAATTAGGAAAATGGTCTTTATTTATTAACTTAGTAACTAATCACTAATCAACTCAATTGATCACTAATTAACTTAATAAGTCATTATTAATCCATATTAGATGTGGTTAACGAAAATCATTTAGTAATTGATCAATTTCAATAAACAAATTAGAAGTTTATCAGTGATAAAACATTGGTAAATTGATAATAAATTGATTCATCATTCATTTTTTTTTTTTGATTGAATGGTTTACCATTGATTGATTATTGTAGAAAAACGACTACTTCCCTTAAATAAAAAAATTTAGGTCATTTGTTTAAAAGAATAAAAAGTTTAGCTATTTATTAAAAGAGGTGGTCAAAAACCGACCATCTACATAATTTTTCCAAATATTTATTTATTAAGGGCATTGTGGAAGCACAGAGTATGAGAACAAAGAAGGGTTACATTGTTTTTTTAAATACATGAGCTTCAAAAAAATATTAATAATAAATGCCAACATGCCTTCCCTATAGTTTCGTTCACTCCATTCTTCTCAACGAGCAACAACACACCAAAAAACCATTGTATGTGCTTCATTTTTGGAAAGATGACTTGTTCCCTCCTGACAATCCGACCTTAGTCGCCTGGTCTTACCTCTTTCATTTTTCTTTTTTATTTTTTTTAAAATTTCCCCCTTTTTTTGTTTGAATCTATTTTTTTAAAACAAAATAAATAAAATTGTTTCGTAGTTTTATTTTTCACTTAGATAAGAAGTTAACAAGGGCATCTTGGTCTTTTAGAAAATGTTTTAAGTAGTATTCAATAAATTCGCAGTAGATTGGAGATTTTTAACTTTTGTGAAACATGGAGGATAAGCTCAACGTATAGGATGGAAGGTTTTATTTCGAAATATGTTGGGAAAATTTTTGTTGATTGTTATTATCTCCGATATAAACATCTGTATTCATAGAAACACGACCAATCCTCTATACACTATGGACGACAACAAAATAAAAAACAACAATATTTAAACTTAAACGACACATCTGCGAAAAATAAGACGATTCTCCTAAACGACAAATTGATACTAATATAAATGACAACATTTATAATAAAAAAAAAATAAAAAAAAAAAACCATAAACGACGACATCTCTTAGGAAGACGCCAATCTCCTGATAGTAAAATCTGCAACAACAATATTTAAGCTGTAAACGACGCATCCCAGAAGCGCGACCAATCTCCTAAAACGACAATAGAATACAATATAAACTGACTATAAACAGCAACAAAATATAGGCGACGACATCCCTCAGAAATTCGACCAATCTCCTAAAAAACGACAATAAAACCTGAAAGCGACGGTACTTATGAAAAAGACAATGATGTGGTAAAAAAAAAAAAAAAAAAAAAAAAAAACACTTTACACGGCAACAAAATATATGGGACGATACCTCTCCGATGATTTGGAAAACTGCAGCATCGTTTGAAAACAGCAATACCATAGACAATATAAGACAAAATACTAAAATGACGACATTTTTTCTTTTTTGGAAAATAAGGACGACATATCTTCACTACATCAATAATTGTAAAACAGCGGACTCAACGGCCATTAAAAACCTACAATAAAAGGAACCTATATCATGTTTTCATTTAAAAATATCCCTAGGAGAAGAATACATTTCGTGTTATATAAGTCAAAATCGAGGGATTTTTTTTTTTGAAATTTTCCCCCTAGATATGACAATAATATACAAAAACGACATCAAATTAGGAGAAGAAAGAAATTCATGAAGATGCTTCGAGAAGAACTTTCAAGAGAAATTACACCCAAGAAAATAGTCGCGGATGTGTTTTATTATTGATCAACTACGAAAGTGCTCTTCTTTTTATAGAAAGATGGATTCAATATTACTAAATAATAAAGAAATAATGGAACCATCGCCAAGCAAGATTATAAACAATTAATCCTCATAAACAAAGCTCAATTTAGCAATGTCGTACGCTAGCTGTCACCGAATTACAAGATGACCTAGGGACATAGAAAGCATTACGATAATTCAAGTCCTTCATGTTCATGAAAATAAAGTAAATTCACTCAATTTTTGTCATCATTTTCTTTCACTAGGAAACTTTTCCAACATTTTAAACAAAGACACGATTAAAGAAAAAAACTACAATGTCTCGCAGATAACAAACTCTTTCAAACTAAATCACGCCACAAATGTAACATTTTCTTACATACAATTAATATATATAATATTCATACCCGCAGCATATATATATATATATAGCGATATATAATTGTCATTTAGATGCAAGGACACACTATATAACTAACTAGAGACGTGCACATATATAACGTGTCCTTCATCTCTCTCTCTCTCTCTCTCTATATATATATATATATATTATGATGCGACATACTAATTAAGTCATAGGACACTCTCACTTTCATTCACAATGCAAACTGATAATAATTATACATGAAAGCCCACAGACAGAATCTATAATACGACTTTGAAATTTCAAGGGAAAAAAAAAGTTGCTGCTGTCTCATCCGCCAAATTCCATTGTAGAATCAAGTGGTGTCTTTTCGATAATCTGAGTACTGCTACTAACTGAAAACAGCCAAACTCGCATTATAATTTGTAATGTAATGTAATGTGGGTCCAATTCCAAAAGCGTGACAACAAAAGGAGGAGAAAAAAGTGGTCTCACGTTTTAGAGTGGAAAGCTCTATGCTCCTCAAAACGCGCAGCCTCTTCGCAGTGGATACAAACATTCTGCCAAAAAAAAAAAAAGGGGTCAGTTATAAGATTAGTCACTGATTAATTTCCTAATCTCTTTATAGACAGAAAGAATATAATATAATATAATATATATAAATATATATATATAAAGTAAACTATGGTACTAAATTTATTTTGCTAATAAAAAAATCGGCGGTGCCCTCACGTGCTTAGTCTAGCGGCACCTTATCAATCTACTAATTATAAGTGGAATGAAAATAAACAAAATTTCCTTCTCGTTGACAATGAAATCAATCTCTAAATACGATATGAGAGAATTTTGTTAGGTAGTTCTTTGCTGCTATACCAATACCCGGTGGTAACTGGCACTAAATTGTTTACTAACATTTTTTGACACACTAAAAATAAGGTGACAATTAGTTCGTGTTAAAATATTATTCGTAAAAGAGATTTTAGTAATTAGCATTTATATATTTATATTATACACACATGATTTATATATTCAGATACACAAAGAGTATATACTTACTTCCATGGGACATCCCCAACAAGCATTCTGTCACCTTCATTATCTTCATAAACCAGTGTATATTCTCCATTAATGACTGTTTCTGTGTGATCCCCGGTCTGTCCATTACTTTCCGAGACGGAATAATCGCTTTGAACTATATATGGCATACATGAAAGCAATATAGTAAACAATATAGTAAATGGCCAGATTTAAAAAAAAAAATATATATATATATATATATTAGGCATAAATAAATCATGATCATATATATATATGTATATGTATATGTATATTTATTAGTGGAGTTCTATTCATTTGAGTTTGTACTAGGTAATTAAATTAATTATTACCTGCAAGTAGGCCTCGGAAGAGTTTATCAATGGCATAGGACAGTTTCTCATAACTATCATAAGCTTTGAGATCAACTTTTCTTCCAATAGGGAATCCTTCCATGTTGATCTTTACAAACATATGATCTACTTCTGATTTCTTTCCCTGATCCTGCTGCACAGGAACTTCCTTTTTGGACTCATCATCATGATCATAATTGGTGATTGATGGTACTGTAGTCTTCAAAAAGCTGCCGCTACCAAGATTTTTCCTGCAGGAACGGATTGGAGGCCACCCGACCACCGGCGGCGCTCTACCGGAAGTAGTACTGTAATCATCAATGCAGAAAAATGTTAGCATTGAAAAATGTTAGACCTCAAACAACATGCAAATCTGACAATTTAAAACTTTCAACCATGAGTAGCTTTTACCAAATTTTTTTTTTTTTTGCAAGTGTTACTATAATAGACCTCATTTCTGAATGTTAGAATACATTATCAGAACAATACTAAAATAAAGTAAAATGTATACAAATATGACAGGTCCGAAACATAAATTATCAACGTAGTTTGTTCTTTATTATCCTAACCATCTGTAAATACTTTTCTAACGCAAAACTAACCGACCGCTTTTAGGTATTGTTTGCTCATAGTTTTGAACAGAAAGTTTAAACATAAATTCAAATTTTTGTAAGAGAAAACACTAGCAAAAAAAAAAAGGTTTGAATCAAAACCAAACGACGCCTTAACTACTACAGAAGCTTTTCATTACTTTATATATGTATGTATGAGTATATACGCAAGAAAAGCTGCAGAAAAACATACATTTTATATCTATATGTACCTTTTCTGACAGCAATTTGGGGCAGAGGAACTGGCAAACTTGGAAACAGTAGTACCAGCAGGAACTGAACATGCCTTCTTATTATGATCTGAGATTTGCAACTGATGATCATGATGATCTCCAGGAGGACCAAGCCTGAGCTCCAGCTTTTTGTTGTCGTCTGATGCGCCATTCAGGAGGAGGAGGCTTCTTTTGTTTTTTCTAGTTGTGATATTATTCCATTCTTTGTTGTCGTCTGGAACCAGCTGATTATGCATGATCTGATCATCATCATGATCATGAGGTGCCATATTTTGATCTCTTTTGTCAAGAAATTATGAAGAGCAAATATGATAAAACCTGGACATAAGGAAAAATATAGCTTTTAGCGGTTTTTTTTTTTTTTTTTTTTTAAGAGCCGGCTTTGGAGAAATGGAGTTTGAGAAGTTTGCAAATGGGCATGACATGATTATAGTTTTTACACTTTTTAGAAGAAAGTTGGAAGTTGGGTCCACTAGAGATAATGTTGTGGAGAAGAAAATAAAATTACATGTGTGTAACATGAGTATAAAAATATCAAAATGAACTAATTATTAAGAAAAAGAGAAATATTTATCAACACACTAGTTTTTGGCCTATCAGAACCATTTAATAATGTATATAGTGTATGTAACAATTACATGAAAGTTTAGAAGCAAACCTCTTAGCATAGTAAGAACAAAACTCAATAATAATAGATGAACTTTTTTTTTTTTTTTTTTGCTTGAATAATAATAGATGAACTTGACTTAGATATATATTGGTCTATATGGATATATAACGAGCTTTTTGTCAGCCTCCTGCCCTATAACAAAACCGAGTATAGAGCAACAAGAGTGAAAAACGCTTAAATAAGATTCCTTGTCTATTTTGTCAAACTAGTAATAGATGAACACGGAGATTATATTTACATACATATATAACAAGTCCATATATATATATATATATATGGATATACAAGCAGTAGTTTCTTTCAAAAAGTCCTCTATCTCTATCTTTATCTCTGTTTCCGTAAAGGGCGAGTATAGAGCAACAAAAGCAAAATGCTAAGAGATACCTTTGTCTCAAAACAAGTGCGCACTTTACCAGTAGAAATGATATACTGTTTGGAAAAACTTCTTAAAAGTTGTTTTTAATTTTTTAAGTCTAAAAGTTATTTTTAAAAGTGTTTAAATGATACGTAATAAGTGTTTTGATTTTTAAGAATAATTTTCAATCAAAATTAGAAATTGTGGCTTCTAAAAAGAGTATTTATAAATAGACTTTAAAATTTATATCAAAGTTTAATTTAAGGTATTATAAACTTAGAAGTATATTAAAAATTATTTTGATCCATTAAGCTCGTGGTTCGTAAGGCTTACTGAAAAGCCACAGATTTTACTTATGTTTTTCTATTAGCTAGGCGCATAGTGTAAGAGAGGGGGAGATTTTCAAACGCAAATAGCTAGCAAACGCGTAGATGGTATTGTTATTAATATTTTCCACTTCACATTGGAGAAATAAACTTTTGTCTCATATATCTTACACATACTAATAACGATCAAGAGAATAATATATATATATATATATATATAATATACTGAATCCTTGTGATTATTTATATGTGTATATATGTAAATAATATAGTGAGAAAGAGGGAGGGAGGGAGTACTGTTTTTATTTTTATTTTTAAAGTTAATATTCATATGCATTAGTACTGGTTAAGGAGACTTTACATGCGAAATTGACTCAATATACTTTAGGAGTTTAATTTGACCCAAAATATTAACCTATTAGGTCTAAGGTTCTTTCATGTATATAAACCACTTTATATTCTCATTTATTTTCTATGTGGACAACACACATATGCACTTTTCTCAACAATCTCTCCCTCATGTGTGTGTTCATTAAGCTCCTCCTTAAACTAAAGTTTCTTGTAGCCGGCATATCCAAGTATCACACTCTAAACGGGAGCCAACTCGAGTATGGGAAAGAGAGCAGAAACCATGTGAGTCCACCAAATGCTCCACCATCCGCACCTGTAACAACACCAACTGTGAAAACACAAAGTGTGATCGCTTGGCCCATACGAACCATCGACTATGATGCCACTTGTTGAGGAAAACACACCTCTACACCCACGCAGTAGAAAAATAAACTGAAACAAAATAACAAAAAAATTAGAGAAGACAAAGATTTATATGTGGTTCGGAAAAATTTTCTACGTCTACGGAAGTGGGAGAAAAATTCACAAACAGTTTTAAAATTATACACTTAACAAACTTTCTCACTTTCTCTCTCTACCCAAAACCCCTTACAATATTGTCTTTCTCTCACATCACTTCTCTCTCTCTCTCTGTGTCAAAAGGAGACACTCCGTCTCTACACTTTTCTCTGAGCACACACATAAATCCTTATACAAAACACTTATTTATAGACTCCTAATAAACCATAAAATAACCCTTACCCAAAAACTGAAAACAATAACTTTCTCAAAACTAATTTGAGTCACTTACCTAACAATCTTCACATTGACTCAAATTCTTTTAACTCACTCAATTGGATATCCAATCTTGACAGTCGTCATAGCACTAACGATGAAAACTTCAACACAAATAAACATGTGTCAAATTCAAACTCTCATCAAACCTGACATGAGGAATGTCTTCTTCTTTCTCAAAGCATCTTCACCGCCACAAGTCTTTACCATCTTGCCTTTATTGTCTTCAACTGTTATCAACATCTTGTTGCACTATTTTACTTCTGCAACTTCTTTCATAACAGAAGAAGACTCTTCTTGGCATGGTTCCTCCTTCATAACTCCATCTACAACTGTAGTCCCAATCAGTTTATACAAATTTTTCACTTTTTCACCCTTTATGGCTACTAAATCACCTCTCTTAATTTGCATAAAACCATCCTTCGCGTAGTACTCACAACCCAAAGTGTCCAAAGCTCCCAAAGAAATCAAACTTCTCCTTAGTTGAGGAACATGCTTAATATTTGTCAATGTCCTCACAACTCCATCAAATATCTTCACATTCACAGTACCTATTCCAACAGCTTTAGCACTAGAATTATTAGCCATTAACAAAGTACCAGCATCACATGACTTATAAGAATCAAACCACTCTTTATGTGGACACATATGAAATGCGCATTCAGAATCTAAGATCCAAGAGTCAGAAATATTTTCATCAGTAATAACATAATAAACATCATCTTCACTATCATACCTGTCGCCAACAATATTTGTAGAATCTGAAGTCCCTTGGGGTTGTTGTTTTCTTCTTTCTTCTAGATGCTTCGTCAATTCTTCATAATTTCTCCTAATATGTCCCTTCTTATGACAATAATAGCACTCAATATCCTTACTTGGGCCGGATTGGGAACAGTCATCTCTTTCATCATAACATCTCCCTCGTGACTTGCTCCTACCCCTTTTTGAATCTAACTGTGTCATTAAAACTTATTCAGTATGAGAAGTAACACTAGACTTTTTCATATTTGCAGTTTCTAACAAAGTAGTCGGCACCTCATTCACAATCAACGTCGTCTTTCCAACTAAAAGTGTAGTCACCAAAGTCTCATATGATTTGGATAGGGAGGTCAACAAAATTACCGTTTTATCTTCCTCATCAATTTTGACCTCTACACTTAACAATTAAATTATGCACTTATTAAAATTATTTATATGATCCCTAACATCACTTTCCTCATCAACTCATACAATTGCTTCTTCAAATATAATCTACTTGTTAGGGATTTCGACATATAAACTTTTTCTAATTTTTTCCATAACTCAGAAGGAGATGTCTCATTTATAACACTATATTTTAGTTCAGGAGCCAAACTTAAACGAATAATGCTTATCGCTTTCGCTTCCAATTCTTCCCAATCTTTCAAACCGCTCAATCTGCTCAAATTTTATCATGGATATCATCTTGACCTTTTTTTTTCTTTTAATCTTCACCACGCTCTAATACCAGTTGTTAGAGAGACTTCACAAGCAAAACTGGGCTAACACATTTCAAGAGCTCAATTTGAGCCAAAAGATTAACCTATTCGGTCTAGAGTCTTTTCACGTATATAAACCACTTTACATTCTCATTAACTTTTCATATAGGACAACACACACTTACACTTTTTTCAACAGTACTTATGTGTGGAATTTTACAATTGCACTGTAAATGTTTCAAATTTTCTTAAAAGGATGTTTTGAACTCTTTTATAATTACATCATGTTATTTTATTCCGATTTGGTCTGATAGTTAGAAATGTATATTTACTAATAGATCATGTTGTTAAGTATCAAAGGAGTCTCATTGTTATGTGAAAGTCTTTCATAATTGTATGAGTTCTATTTGTTTCACTGTTGGCCATAAAATTAACTAGGCCAGAAAGTTAATAATCCAAATCTTAGCCCACCTTCTTTGTTGCTGTACTAAAAAATAAGAAAAATTACTTCATCAAGCTGAATTAAAGTTCTAATATTAATTATTTTATGGAACTTCATATCAAAGTTGATCAGATAATCATGAGAAGTCGTTGATCACATATTGTTTGGACTCTAGGTAGATAATTAGAGTGCTCTAAATTAAAGATATATTCAAAATTTAAGGGTTCATTAATATTTGGTTTCATTTAGAAAATATTGGTCCAAAAAATAATTCTTACAACTTTAAATTCTCCTTTGGTTGAATTTCAAATATTGTTGTTGGCTTCCGGATTTCTTTTTCACCACGTCCTTGGGGAATTCCAATTGATCGAGCAAATAGATATCATTACAAATATATCTTTATCCCTTGGTTTAACAACATTATAATCTAGCATATTTTACTGCTTAATGTTACACAACGTGCTCAATAATTGTAGCCAAGGCTGAATTACTAGTTATTGAACTTAAACTATCATGATTAATGAGAAGTATAGTAATTAGAAGCACAAAGTTGAGAGACAAGACGGATAAGATCCTTAGTTGTCACATTGGATGGGTGAAAACGAGTATTTTTTGACCCAAAAAAAAAAAAATTTCGCATGCGCTCATATTTCATGGAACATCATTATTATTAGTAAAAGGATATTGCAAAAAATGTTTTACTTAAAAAATCAAAATCTTGTTGACTTAATTATTACTGGTTCCTTCAAGGAAAGCACCCAATGTGGGTAGCAATTGCTAGCTTTGTTCATGATAATTTACTACGACTTTCAAAGTCACGAAAACAAAGTCTTCCACCAAGTATATATTGATCATCACCTAGCTAGCCCACCCACGTGAATAATTAAGGAATAATTTGAGTTTCTGTTTCTGTTTTTTTTTTTTCTTCTTCTTATTTTACACTAAGGAATTAGGGAATTAATCTGTTCATTGAATATCAAGATTTTGCATTTAAAGTCTTTACCATCATGATTGGCAAGAC